TTTTTTTTTTTTACCTTTTGGACAGAAGCTGATACACCATTTTGTCTTGGATCGAGAAAGGGAAAGCTGTGGCATTTTCATTATTGGGCCTCACTTGTTCATATCAAATGAGAATAATTTTGAAAATCTTAATTAAAGATTTTGTTTTTGTAATGAAATCACTACCACAACCTTGGTAAATTGAAATTTTTCATTTTCTAAAAAATTCCACGTGTCAATTATCCCAGTGTAAGGTAATGCTTGCCACATGGTAAAACCAATATGCCTTTTATTAACCACATGTTTGTCAACACCTAGCCTAGAAACAGACTGCAAATCAAACCCTTCTGTCTCTCAGCGCTGTTTAGGTTCCATCCACTCACTTGTCACTCATTTTAAATAGGCAGTGATGCTGATAAGGTTTATTGCTTCCAATATTGAATAGATGTTTTCTGTTTCTCTATCTCTACAGATAGCAATTTGCTAACAGCAAATAGCAACCTTTTTAGTTCTCTTGTCCACTTTTAGGCTACATTTAGATTTTTTTTTTTTTTTTTTGAGGGGGGGGTATTTTATTATCATCTGCTCTTTGGGATATATTTTTTTTATTTTGGACACACACACGGAGTAGAATACATTAACAGACAGACATCTTGTTCAACGTATTCATGAATCTCCATCTGTGGAAAAGTGTATCCATTAGTCATTATTGCATGTGGGATTGGTAGATATTGCAGATACCGAAGCCAGGGACTAGTTTACACATGCCTGGTTGAGCATGCGTTCTGCTCTACTGAACTCAGTCATGCAACATTGTCCTCAGCCAGGCAGTAATATCCTCCCAGATTGGTGTGGGCCTCTCCATCACTCCCAAATCTCTCAGCAGAGAGAGTCCAGCTTATATGTAGCAGCAGGTCAACATATGGACACATAGGAGAAACTCGGGCAAGATTCTCACTACAGCAATGTTTTGATTAATTTGAGTATAAGCCTCCTCTTTGTATTTGTAGCAGCTTTCAGTCATTCAAACTCATTCAGCCTCTACGTCACTGAGCTCCCTTCTGTAAGATTAAGCTCTAGCTGTCTGCCAAAATCACTTAGCCCTGCCCACCACTAATTATTAATGAATACCATTATTAATGTGTGTCTGGGGGCTGGCTCAGGCACTATATAAAGGCAAGAAAAATTGATTCATCCACTAAGTGAGGAGTAGAACAGTGAGATACAGTAGTTGTGGCCATTAAGTTATCAGAACACATACTTCAGTGGCCTTAGTGGAAGAGGAGTGTTTTGGGTACACAGATCAGGTGGAATGTACAGAGGATTGAGGAAAACTGAAGGACTTTTCTCTGCTGTTTATTCATAATCCTATTGCTGTTTTTGTTCACAAGTGTCAAGATAAAGAGGTTTGGGTGGGGAAAATCACACCTCACTGTTGGCCTATTGGATAAGCATTCTTTCTCTGACGGCCATAGCTGAGCTATTACAGAGTATATACTGAGGAACTTTGCTGGCTGACAACACATTTGCTACAAGACAACTACATTCAGATAGGAGACCGTCTTTTCTTTTTCAAAATGACAACGATGAACTGTCTGTGTTGTTTTTCTGTTGTCTTAGTGTGTATTATATTTGTCCCCACAGGAATTCATGGAGACACAGTGTGTGCATCGTGTGATCGTTCAAAATGCACAGCAGTCGATGACTGTCCCAAGGGACAGAAACTAGTAATGGATGAGTGCAACTGTTGCATGAGCTGTGAGGATGAGAATGCACCAGCAAAAATTCCAAAACGTAAGTATTATGTTTTCATTGCCTGGAATAAATCTTTGTATATATACTTTTTTTTCAAAACTAATCTTTAGAGCAACAAAGGGCATTCTAAGTACTTAATGTTTATGGTTTGTTCTCTATGTATGTGTATATTTATATATCATTTAATAAATGTTTGGGGAGATTTTTTCATTGTCCAATGTCTTATTAAGTACCTGTTAACTACTTTCAGTGTTTAAAACAAGTTTAACCAGAATTTAAATGGAAATATACGCTATATTACATTCAAGCAGTACATTTTCTTGCAGAGATGTAGCTGGCAAATAAATGCATTTTGAGATTTTTTGATTTTCATGAGTCATGTGTCAAAAAGAATTTATTCCATGAAATGGCTCTTATTTTTTGGCAAACATGTTTGAGGTATTCATCACATGATTTTAGACTTACATTACCGGTCTTACAGTGGTTTATGAAGTCAGAAATAATACAAAGAGATCAAAAAAAAAAAAAAAAAAATCAGCTGCATCTTTGTTGTGGGAAAGTGCATGCATGGGGCTTTGCATGTGGCCTACCAAGAGTAAAAACAACTTCCACCAGCTATAGCTTTGACTTTTCTATGTATGGTTGGCAGTTCTCCATGGTATTATAGTTCACTTCAAGTTCACTATAACAATTTGTGGTTCAGGTGTCTTTTGTGGAGTATCTGCTATTTTCTGTCAATGGAATTCTCCATTCCTACATGTACCATCTGTTTGAGCGATAAAACAAAACTTTTCAATTACATTTTCCCTCTTTTTTTTATTTTAGTTTGAAATGTAACAGAAAGGGATTTTTATAATACCACTAGTTGTTCCTAATCCATTGAGATTAGCTTTAAAAAAAGAACATATGAATTGAGTGATGAAAAAATTAGCTCAATCCAGACCTGATATATCTTCTTGATTTCTTTCTATTATGGCACTTAAATATCTATCATGGCATTAAAATGGGTTATTTCATTTCAGTACATTTAACAACTTTGTTCAAATTGTGGGAAGATATGGGTAATGGCAGGAGAATTGTTTGCTCAACTAAGCATGATTGACATGCCATTATACTCCTTCCTGATGAGAATTTAAAATTTATTTATTTGATCATCAGCTTTTCCCCCATTTCCTTAGATATCTTAATAGTAAAAGGGGGTCTTTTTCACAGACTCATTTAAAGGGGTTTTTTTCTGGAATGTACTCTGCCATTTTTTAATTACCACTGTTTAAACTATTCTTCAAACATTGAGCTTTTCATGACTTAATGAATTTGATATATCAATGCTTTGGATAAATAAAACATACACTCCTTACTTAGACAAACTGATTGACAATACTATTAATCTCAATAGCTATGTGATTAATTTACTATTGCCTCGATAAAAATATCAGGACTCATAATTTCTATTACTTGTATAAACACCACTCCAAAATAAGATCAGGCTTAAATGAACTCTTAGGATAAAGCATGGTATTTTTCCAATAAGGAAAGAATTGAGGGCATTGATCTTAACTGAGAATATTTGCCATTGAATTCTGTGGCTTCCACTAGGTTTTCCCACATGTACACAGTGTGAGACCAGTAATCCATTTAAGACACCTTTTCATAATTCCACCAGTGGAGTTGTTATTTGTGAAGCCCCTTTAACACCAAATATTTACACACAATTAATGAGGAATAATTAAGAGAAGGATTGGAGAAAAAAATACAGGATATTGACAAATTCTCATAAAATCCAATTCAACAGCCTTGCACCCATCTGTTTTCACAGTGTTAAAAAAAAGTGAATCAAACTTGAATAAAAAATATATGTGAATTGAGCGTGTTCCTTTATAGTGGTTGCGATTACCCTTTGCAGGCGTGTGTCGTCCTGATCAGTTTGCCTGCGCAACCATTGCACAGTGCATACCAAAGTCGTGGGTGTGTGATAACGTACCTGACTGTATAGACCACTCTGATGAAAAAGAATGTAATTGTAAGTAAAGGGAAGACAATGATGCCAGTTTGTTTTTTACTGTAGCTAGGTTCATAGTTTAGTCTCCATAGTAACCAGAGTACCATAGCAACCAATATTCCCCACCAATAATTATCTGTTTGATGACTTATTGATTGACGTGTTGAGAAATCAGCATATGACAAGTAACCAAGATTTCGTTTGACTTAACCCCTGTAGTGCAACCTATAGCAAGTTAATCACATCCTGTTTTTATGCACATGTAAGCTGTGAATTTAAGCTGAAAAAACACAACTTACAATAAATATATTCAAAATATCATTTTTTTAGCACAGCTTAGATTGAAGAAAAAATACAGATGATCTTGAGAGTTCTTCACGTGTGTGTTTCTCCTGCAACAGCTTTGCTCGTCTGCCTTACCATATCGCATTAAAGCATGCCGCAAGCACTATATGCCTGCAATGATTCTCTTAACTTTCATTAACTTTTTTTTCTCAGCTGTGGTGTTTGTCTTGCTTTAAAGCCTGCTCCTGTTTGCTTCCATCTCTGCTTTGTGGTTTTTCAAAGCTGTGGTAATAACCATAGCTTCTCACCTGCCTGAGATAAATACGCCTTTACACTCAATCTCATGATGCACACTTGCTCTAAGATGACCTTTCACTGGTATTTGGTAATGGATTGTTTTTGTGAATTTTGTTTTGTTATTGTTTATTTGTGTACCCATCATATCAGCTAGCCCCTGGATCTGTGTTGTTGTGGCTTGTCAATTAAGTAACACCGGTAATCAGTTAGATAGGCGACCATTTACTTACACAGTATGTGGTTGAGGTAAATGTTTAGTTCCGATTTCATTTTCTCACCTTTTCCAATCACCTTGTTATTCCTCTTATCTCTGTGAGCTCTCTGGTTCACTGGGGAAATGGAGATGAGGAAATGATAACAAGAGATAATCCTCTGTGGATGTTCTTGTTATTTGTTTGTCTGTTTATTTTTCTTACAAACAACAGAAAAGTTGAACAGATGCTCCCTTGCCACATGCATTTTGGTTTACAGAAAGACAGAAGAAACTGCTTAATTTGAGAATACTTTCTACGACTGCATTCCAAAAACCTTATCGTACTAGCAGGATCGATCTATCTCAGCAGGGTTTCTTGCTAAGGCGCAGTCAATGTAATCAGCATAATTGTCTGGCACGCCCCCCCCCCCCTTGCAAAACAACAAGAACGTGGACCTCAAAGTTAACCAAGGGAGCATGCTAGACATTTAAGCAGCTTACACTGAATGCAATTTAACGAGAATCCCCGAGGAGTTAGATCCAACCAGTTAGTACAACAGGGTTATGGGAACGGTCCCTATAGCACACAAGTAATTACTTGAAAGTTTCATTTGGTAATTGCGATGCTCTTATAAAAGATAAGGAATAATGACAAAAAAATCCAATCAATCATCAGCCAAGTCATTTATACAGGGCACTTTGAATACATTTTTTGTTCAAATTACTTCCAGATTTTTCAGTTGATATAGAGGGCAGTCATTGTAACGCTTTGAAAAGGGCCATGCCTGTCATAATTGGGTACATTTTATGTCTCAAACAAAACTAATTTTCAAAATTCCTGCAGCTGAGAGTGATTGAAGCTTAGGAGTTGCACACCTCCAGACATATATATGTACTGTTAAAAATACCTGCTGACCATGGCTGAGATTGTGGTTTGTTAAAATGAGCTGGCAAAAGGGCAGCTGGGGCATCAAAATTTCATTACCAAAGTATTCTTTGAACAGCAAACTTCCAGTTTACTACCACATGCCACAGATTGTTTGCAGTTAAGATAATCTGTAATTGAAAGTGAATGGCCTATTCTGCTGTGGTACCATATTTGTTTGCTTTTTGTTAGAAAGGGGGTGTTTTCTCAAACAACTGTTGTTATTTGGACTCTAAAAATTACTCAGGGGTTTCGTTTCTAGGATTTTTTTTTTTCGGCATCCAATTTTGTCTGCTGTCAATATGCTTTATTTTTAACAGAGCTTTAAGTTTGGAAATCAGAAAATAGATCTTGTCATCACTTTGACACAGGTCATCTAAGGGCATCTGAAGCACTTTTGCTGCTGCAGACTTGCATGTAATGTAGCAGTCCACAGCTGCCACTCATGTCATAAGTAATTAGAAAAGATTCATTTACTTTAAATAGAGCACCACATGTATGATATCAAGTAAAAATTTAATTGCAATGATGGTGCATTAGTAGAAACTTTGGAGCTTTACAAGCAATAATGTCTAGATTAGAATCTTAGCAGACACCTGCAAATACTGTTCAGCTATTCATTCTATGAAAATCTGTAAGACTTAGTATAATTTTCAATAAAGATATATAGCCATCCATTCTATTTCTCTTCAGATGATCCTTGCTTGCAGATAACTTGTCCCCGTGGGAAGGTATGTCTTCTTAATATCCAGGGTTTGCCTGTTTGTCGCTGTCCTAGTCTTGCCATTTGTAAGATGAAGCGCAGAAAGAAGGACGTTTGTGGTCGCGATGGGGTCAGTTATGCATCACGTTGTCACCTCCGTGTCCAAGAATGCAATTCGGGCAAAAGGATAAGGGTAGCTCACAAAGGACCATGTAAAAAATCAGAACTGCTTAAACATAATAAACAAGACAATAGCCAGCTTCTTGGTGACAAAAAGAACAAAAAACTATCACGCAAAGAGCGTCGGGATCGTAGGAGACAAAGAAGGAAGGAAAAAGAACAAAAGAATCGAAGATTACGAAGAAACCACAGAAGATTCTCGACATTTTGAATCTGTCCTGTTGAATTTTTTTAAAACATTAACATGCCACTGCCTAGCTGTTTTTTGCTCTCTGTGCCAATGACAAATTAAAGGATTAAGAAGAAGCTATTGTGCTGTATGACAAAAGAGGAGTTTAAGAGTTTTAAAAAATGTCGTAGCTATGAAGTTTGTTTGCTTTTACTTTCACTGAAAGCATTCAATTATAGTACCTATGTAATTTATTTTCCATATTAAGTTCTCTTTGACATTGCTTATTAGATTTTTTGAGAAGATTTATTGTGATTATACAAATTGTATTTAGAATTATGAAGCAGTATTCATTTAGTATTAGGGCCCTAATTTATATACTTTTACTCACTTGCTTAAGGGTTTTGAAGTTCTTTGGGGGATTATATTCATACTAAAATGACACTAAACTCTAAATTGAACAGAGATTTATTTTGACTCAGCTGAAATGCCTGTTTTAAAACTCCGGTTAATCGTTTTTTTTTCTTTTTTAACTGGTGCCAGACAAATTTTACCAACTAACTATTCTTTATCTCAATGCTTCAAGAAGAAATGTCAAATTTTCTTTATTGTATAAAAGTGGGTATAAATATGTTATTCTCCAATTTATGCCATAGTATATCAGATATATGCACAGCCTGTTGTCAGATATCCCTCTTAACTGCTTTAATCATGCAAGGTGCCCTTTTTCATATAAATGTAGACTCCCTGTGTACAGAACTTACCTTACTTAAGCCTGAATTAGTCTGATTGATGTTACTAAAATGCTTAACATTGGATTTAAAAAAATAACTTGAAAAACTAGATATGGTCTGAATTTTGTTACTAAAATGAAAATCTTAAACATCTGAACAAATTGTGATGTGCCAAGAAAGCCCCTATTTAATCTAGAATAGTCAATTGGATTATTTCTGGTCTAAGTAAATCCTGTTGTAAACACCACTTACTGTTCTCACTTTTTTCTCTAAATCAAGTAATGTAATCAATTTTCCTATTATTCATATGAATACCTTTGGCTCAGTTCTTTCATGGTGCAGACTTGCACAGACTATGACAGCCTAAAATGTTCAGAAGCAAACACAGTGATATCCCAGCAGTTTCAATGAAATATGCCAAGTTTGTAGTCCACATTTTATTTTTACAGAAAAATATTGGCAAGTGAAGTAGATTTTATCCAGTGCCATACTAACACCTACCCATCCAAAGTAAATAAAAATGCTGAATGTAAAGGTAAACTCATGGATGATCCGTTGGTTTATCTCTTTCAAACTTTGATGACTGTGGTATCTTCCTATCATTATGTCATACAGATTTTTTTTTTGTAAATATTTAAAAACTGCTGCAAAAGAAGCAACTGCTACATGTCTTTTGTGATAACTGTACATAATTGTATTTTGTAATTTGTATACCAGTTGCCTGTTAGCATTATCATTATCTATTTATGAAAATAATTTTATTATACTATATTCTGGCTTAGCTGATATCAGTCTTTGATAAAAAGTAAAGTTGAGGCAACGAGTACATACAGTGTAATTGTCTGGTACAGTCAGCTATTGGTTGCAGTATTTTTACATCTTTACTCGAAAGATGCATGGCTGTTTTGAATGTAAAACATAATGCCAATATTGTTAGACAGCCAAGAAGTCTATTTTTACCATCAAAAACGATCTAGGACTCTTGTCCCTGGCTGAATTGGCAATGAAATAAGGGGAAACTACCAAGGGGGAGAAAACAATAACAGACGCGAGATTTAAAAGAAGATGCAACGATAATTTGGACTCATCGGGGACAAGATACCCTAGCCTGGAGATTGTGAAATCATTCAGCCATGTTTATGCCAGATAGCAAGCAGCCGTTGTTATCTGGTGATCTGTCTTTTGATGGTGCATACAAACAGGAGGACATGTCAGAAAGGTGTTCTCCCATCTTACTGTAATCCATCAGATCATGCCAAGAGCACACTTAGCATAAGGAGACAAATTATGATGGTGATTAGGCCTGATTAGCCCATCATTTATCAGGCCCATTTACATAAGTTACTGAAGATGGGCTGGCAAATTTCTGATAAGCTTCACAAAGCCAGCGAGATCTCATTTGTAAAAATGTTGTCAGTATTTATTTCTTTGCTACATTAGGATTGTACTTATTGTGTTTGTGAGAATACGGATATTTAACTACTGCAAAAAATTAAAAAGTTAAGTATAGAACAGAAACATTTTTAATTGTAAATTATAAAGTAATATGTATAAGACAGACCTGAAAAAAAAAAATGGACCAAAATGTTGCAGCCACCCATTCAATTTCTTGTATTTTATAAAATTTTGAAGTGATATTAAAATAAGCTGCATAACTTTGTACTGAAGAAAGCATGCAATCATTTTATTATTGCAATAGAAAAGATATGAGCTGTCACTCCATGCATTTTTTTTACTTGTTAAATTTCCAATATGTTTAAGTTCATGAACTCAATATCCCATTGCCATTATAAGTAAAGAGAGTTGCAAAACTCCGAAAGAAGCAAATAAAGCTAAATGTATTCTGCTGCTACCATACTTGTTCTTGTAAACCTCGTGTATAGATTTTATGTTGACATTTTCTTTTTTAAAAGTTATCTATATTTTTCTAATTTTAAAATTAGGAATGCTTGTTCTACTTTGATCTGAAAAAAAATCAAAGCATGCTAAATATCATAATGGACAATCTTAGATGCTTTATCACCTCCATCCACAGGCCTACCCAACTACCAGACTCGGCACCGAATGATCCTGAATTCACCGGTAGATCAGACCACACTACCCGTTTTCAAGGTGTGTGTCAGATCGCATTACACAGTATCAGACGCGACACCGCTCTTGCCTAGTACGCGATGTGATAGTGACGATTCTCAGCGGGGTTGAAAAGCATTGCATCACCACTCAAAATTTGTTCAGGGTATGAAACTGTGTAATGCGATCTGACACACACCTTGAAAACGGGTAGTGTGGTCTGATCTACCGGTGAATTCAGGATCATTCGGTGCCGAGTCTGGTAGTTGGGTAGGCCTGATCCACCCTTGGTACACATCTAAGCCTGTAATTGTACTTGTTGCTCACTTAATTCTGGGATTAAAAAACAAATTATGTGGTGTGTGGGTGGGGATCCAATCACACACCTACATGTGCACCCTTAAGTTCAAACTTAGTTTCTAATTTTTTTCTTTGAAATTGTTCAGCCAAAGAATCCTAAAGAGACAGGGTTTGCAAAGTTTTCACTCTTCCACTGTTCTTTTTATCTGTTGTCAGAGTCTGAGAAATCCATCGGCATGTGTTGTAAAACAGGTGCAGAACCCATAGCTGAACACATGTGGGTGGGAGAGGGCTCTAGTTTGTAAGCAGGCTATTTATTCCAGACATTTTACTGCCGTGAATTTAGAAGCAATTTTTTTTCTTTTATGCCGCACACCATTCTGGACAGTGGGATACTTTACAGTAACAGATGCACTGGGTTGTTGCCAGATTATCTCAATACTCCTTTTCCCTTTTATGTCACAAAACAAAACCTATCTTGTATAACCATAAACAAAACTAACAGGAAGCTCAAACTGTTCAGTGATGGTTAAGACAAAGAATATCTGTCACAGTTGAAGAAGACGGGCTAATGAACTCTCTCTCCTATATTTTCTATGCCAATTAAGAAAGCAAGTGTTTAACAAGGAAACTTAGTCATTTTGTTGCAGACAATGATGCTTTTACTGGGGGACCAAATGTGGGAATTCACAGTGATCTTACAATGAAAACTTCTGGTGGATTTGTTGTTGCTAACAAACTGAGAATGAGAGAAATTTGTGAACTTGATTAATGTTGAAATAAATTTTTGTTCATTTTATCAGGCACATGAATTTGGGACAAGAGCAATCAATATTCTTTGTAAAATTGTAAAGTCCAACTCGGAAGGCTCTCTCACAAAGTATGATCAAATAATTGCAATACTCCATTCCATTTGTATTCCTTCTCCAAATAACACAAAGAGGATTTACTAAAACAACTTTATTGAAATAGGTTGGGGTTTCAGAAAAAAATGTTAATTTCCCTAGTGAGCAAGTCAAACATAACCACAAAACATTTCTAAATTTACTTAACGTTCCACTAATGGATAAATACCAAGTCCAAAAATGTTTTAAATTTATTACATCATGCTATCATGCTAATTGAATACAACACAAAAGTGGTACTTCATACACAAAACTTACACTAAACAAAGTTGCAAAGGTATGCTTTCAAATGGATAAAAAAATCGTTTAAGTAAAGTCTAAGTGGAAAAAAGTCACCAGGAAATGAGGCCCATATTTCATTGTAACTTGCCTCCAAATTACCTAGAATGATTGATGTTTCCTTCTGTCAGCTGCTACTTGGTGTTTACTGCCAAGTTTTCTCACCTTGGACTCTATTCACCAAATAAATAATGACCAAGCTTGCAAATCAAGCTATTTACAAAGGTGAAAGTAATAAGGCAAGTTAGCCTGCTGTTTTCATCTATTTGTTGGCCAGACACGGCTACTGCAGTATAATCTATGTCACTTGGACAATTGCAACAACATTTAAAAATATAGCTTTCAATAAATTAGACTTATGCTCAATGCAAACAACTTGAGTAAACATTTCATTGTTCGCAATGTTATGCACGGCAGCTTCAGGAAGTTACAAACTGTTTCTTCACTTGCATTTATCAGTCCAGCAATTTTTCAAATAAAATAATTTTTCAAACACTAGCATAATCGTCTTAATTCTACCAATAATTTGTCAAATATAAAATGGCAATACATGTATTTGTCATATTCAAAGAATTCCACTACAAAGTAAGGTTAGTTATTAACACTGCTCACTAGGGACTATGGTCAGTCAAGCTCTTCTGGACGCACAGGATGTGGAATGGGAATGACTGACTTCTTTTCGACATCTCTGGACAGTGCCTTCCTCATGTCTGCAATGAAAAATGGGTACATCGATACAACCTATTCAAAAGGTGACCTTTCTGTGGATGGTGCTGCCACCTAATGGCCGTGAAAAACATTAAGTTACTTTCCCATTTCTGTATACTTGGAAATAGTTTTTTTTTTCTTCACTCAAAAGTTCAGCAACAACAAATCCAACCAAGGGTTTCTCATATACATATAATGTGTCTTAGTAAGAAATTTATTGAAAAACAACAGACCAATAACAAACAGCTTATTTTTGAGTAAATTCCTTAAAAAGATGGCATTCTTTGGTTAAATTACTACCTATCCTCTCATTTATTTTATGGTTCATTAAAGTCTACCTATGTTGACAGGCAGAGCACTGGAACTGTTTTCTTAAATATGCATAATGCTTTCCTGTGACAAGGAGAGAGAAGCCATGCCTTGTACTTTTCAGGTCTCTCTGTTGCTTTTTACACAATTTATCACTATGCTTCATACACATGACACAAGTTTTGAAAGATCTTCACTGCCTGCCACTCAGAAAATTCCATGTATTATTTTAACAGCTCTAAAAGAAAACAAGTCTTTTCATATCTACTATATAATACACAAACTTCAACCTGTATGGGCTACCAAAAAAGCACCATCTGACAATCTATCACCCCATTTCCATAGATTAGATCGACCTACTTTAGATCGACCTAACTCCCTGGGGGTTCACGCTCAATAGCTGCCACCCGGGCGGACACGAAAGTTAATTACCCCCTTAAAGCTTGTAGTAGGCGGGACGGACATTTAAGTCGGATTATCTGAAAGTAATCTAGTGAGACTCCCCGCGGGGATAGATCGATCTAAAATCTATGGGAATAGAGCCTATGAGAGTCAGGGACTTGAAATATATGCTCAAAAGCTCAAACTGCCATCAACTATACAAGAGGCCACAAGTATTAAAATTGAAATTAAATAAAAATTCTATTGAATACTGATATTATATAAATAAAAAATAAATTCTAATCACTTTGTACTAATTTTTATTTTTAGTGTTTTTTTTTTTAAATTTCTAATCACTAATGTGATTTTTATGAAATGCCGCATACAAATATATTACAGCATGTACATAAATGTACATCTACCAAATCATTTATTATTTAAATCATACTGATTTCCTATACAAAGGAAAAATCCAAATATGATAACTTTTATTTACTGTTTTCAATCAAATCTAGCAAAGAGTGATGATTATATTTTCTAGGGACCATTTGTGTTATTATGTAGGGACGGATTGTGACAGTTGTGAATAAACAGAGTAACCTACATGTAAAGTTATAAACAATGAAAACATGTGATGTTTCAAGAGATCAATTCTTCATAATTCCAACACAAGTATATACTTCAGTATACAAAAAATGTAACATAGTAACCAATTCATATATGATAATTATCAAACATAAGCCAAAATACTTTCATACTGTTCGCTTACAGCCAACATGGACAAAGGCCTTCTTCAGACTGGTGTGGATAGATGTTGTTACTCACTGTTTGATAATTATCATATATGGTCCAACTACCAAGCTAATGAACATTATTGCACATAGCATAACCAATTGTTATTATTGTAGATTTTTTAACAGGTTTTTTTTTTTCACTTAGAAGTTTCCAAGTGAAATACACTGTTGTATATAAAATTTATAAGTTCCCAAAGTTCCCAAATTTTATAAGAATTATAAGTTTATAATCATACCATCCTACCCACCAATTTCAACCTAACAAACATTAACAACTTTTCACCTTCCACACAAAACTGTTTCTGCCAATCAAAGTTTGTAACTCAAGAATTTTTGTAACTTGAGATCCTTCTCAACAAGGTAATAAAACAGTGTTTAACTCACCAAATGCGTCTTCATCCACTTCTCCAGAATAATACTCTATAACCTGCCTGTATACACTGTATCCCAGCTTTTCATACATTCCAACTGCTACCTTATTAGACACCCGCACAAACAGGTCCACGAAGTAGCACATTTTTCTGAAAACGATAAAAGAAAACTAAGAAGTTTACCAACTTGTAGTGAGTACTCAAATTCTGTGCAGAATGACTTCTAAAACTGGTGTCAAAGGACTGAACAATGTTATTTCAGAACCAAACGGGATAGAAAATGGTACAAAATATAATTACTTTAATCTGCTATAAGTAAATAAGATAGTCACAAATGCTGTTTTCTGTAAAATTTCCACTTAAAAAGACTGAATCCACATAAAAGTATAATATTCCAATCCCCCGGAAAAAAAGAAGATGAACAGCATACTTCTCTGAAACATCTTCCAAAATATTCATCAGTTTTTCTGCCAACCCCAGTCTTCTGTATTCTGGTGCTACTGTGAGGGCTGTCACATGGCCATGCCAGTTATCTGCTCTCCCTTCAGATTTACCCATAACTATAAAGAGAAATCATTATGATGTTATCTGTTGAAATAAGTGAAAAAATTCATAACAAGATCTTACACAGTGGAAATCATTTGGGAAATCCTCTCTACATGATAAACATTTTATGAAAGGTGAATGCACTTCATACTAAGAATATACAGATATATCTTGATCTATTTTTCTCATTTGCTTTAATTTAATACTTTTATTTTCCAGTAAAAATTTAATTTTTGCATACATAAAAATAACATCCCAATAAAACCCATTTCCGCTGGCAATCAGAAAATGTAAATACATAGACATCTATTTGTATTAAATTTTGGTAATAAAAAATAAAATAATATAAAACAGATTAGCATACCACAATATAACCATTAAACAAGGCAGCAAAGCTGTCAAATGTACAGACAAAGNACATGGCCATGCCAGTTATCTGCTCTCCCTTCAGATTTACCCATAACTATAAAGAGAAATCATTATGATGTTATCTGTTGAAATAAGTGAAAAAATTCATAACAAGATCTTACACAGTGGAAATCATTTGGGAAATCCTCTCTACATGATAAACATTTTATGAAAGGTGAATGCACTTCATACTAAGAATATACAGATATATCTTGATCTATTTTTCTCATTTGCTTTAATTTAATACTTTTATTTTCCAGTAAAAATTTAATTTTTGCATACATAAAAATAACATCCCAATAAAACCCATTTCCGCTGGCAATCAGAAAATGTAAATACATAGACATCTATTTGTATTAAATTTTGGTAATAAAAAATAAAATAATATAAAACAGATTAGCATACCACAATATAACCATTAAACAAGGCAGCAAAGCTGTCAAATGTACAGACAAAGAACAGAAAATAAAGATGCAAATAAGTGAAAAATTAAATTTTCANGACGGCGACGACGGCGACGACGGCGACGACAGCGACGACGGCGCCGACAGACGCAGATGATGGCTATATGTACAGACACATCTGTGTCTGTACATAAAAAAACATGACCAGACATGTCAAAAACATAAATTCAACTTACTGTAACCCATGATTTCTCCATTGGGTGACTCAGCCACCTGAAAGTACTCTGGCCAATGAGCCATGTACTGCATGTAGAATGGGAGACCATACTGTGTCGTTTGATAAGGAAAAACACTTGAAGAAAGGCAAATTTGTCTGAGTTGGTCGTCCTGACAAATTTAAACAAACAAATGCATTTTGGTAATTGTCTGGTTCCATTTCACAAATATTGCTTACATTCTAATTGAAATCACCCTATTTATATAAGTAAAATACTTCACTCCTCATGCTTCAGGAAGGAAATCTAGTGAAGAGCCCCCCCCCTCTTTCTCTCTCTTTCTCCCTCTCTCTCACTCTCTCTCTCTCTCTCTCTCTCTCTATATATATATATATAGATATACACACACACACACACACACACACACACACACACACACACACACACACACACAC